TATATATATATATATATATATATATATATATATATATCCCCGTACAAGTACATAAATATAACGGTACCTTGTCACATCACTACTCGATACACGATTTTAATACACACAATGCAAGCAAATAAACGGACAGAATTGAATTGCATCATGCATTCTCTGCATAAATAAAATACTGCGAGAGCGTTGCGTTACGTCTACCCGGTTAATACATTGAATCATGAAACAGGTAGTTTGATAACATTTACAATAAAATCACATTTTTTCGATATCTCGTACTATTCCCCTATAAAATGCCTTTGTCTAGAATAGGAATATTGGGGTCTAACGAAATTTAAGACATGGTCACCAGCATGAAATAAAATTATGCAGACTTGAACCTGTGATAGATGGTTATAGTTATTTGAATTATTTTTTATAAATTTGTTTTTATACATTTGTCTCAGTTTTTAATTACTTTTTATTTGATATATTTGCCTACTTGGCCAAATGCGAGCCTAAAATAAACAAAGCCTTTATTGTTGGTTATAGTTACGTCTGTACAATATAATTGAGAACCCTATAATCATTGCACCAATTTTTTATTGCTTTGTTCATCGTTAGACTTATTTTTGTTCATCGTTAAACGCGTAGCGTTGAACAATACTACTTATACAATACTGGTCGGTAAACAATAATGGTAGGTTTTATATTTATATTGACAATTTAAAGTACATACAAAAACCTACATTCAGTCTTTTAAATATTAAGATAGCATAAGTTAGGAAAAAGAGTTCGAGTCGATGGATTTTCTAGATGGCAGGACTTCTTCTTCACCTGGGTACCCGTCTGGGTAGGTAGCACCATCTTTAATTAAGCGCTTGCACTGCTATTTGGTGGTCTGAAGGTATAGACTGTGTGTGTAGTTACAGCCTGTGTAACATATCATCTTAGTCCTCAGAAATGATATCGCAGCTGAAGCCTTCTTCGTATGAAGTTGGCCTCAGGTGATAATGGACTGCAACAGGTGCACCCACAATATTTAAAAAAAAATTTTTTAAAATACCCACATCTGCAAAGCGCTGCCCCCTTCGTTCCGACATAGGTCAAAAAATGTTTGGTATTGCATTCATAAATCGACGGCTCCGTGGCGCAGTGGCTTGGCAATAAAGTTGCTGCGTTGGGGCCCGTGAGTTTGAATCCCGCACGAAACAAGTATTTAAATGGCCTACAAATAATTTTTCCGGGTCTAGATGTTTGTTCTTGTACGATTTATGTTTATAAACTGCTTCCACGTTACAACAGAAAATCATAGTGTGGGGATAACGTTTTAAAAAAAGTTTGAAAGCGGTTTACCTTTAAGTCAACCATTGAACTTCCCCCTTTTTTTGAAATTGAAACGCTCGAGAGTCTTTCAATAGGTTTATGCTCGAAGTAGCTCAACCAATCGAAAGATTTTATGAAAGAAAACGACTATTTCGAAAAAAGTTATTAAAAGTTATATCAAAGGAAACGATTATTTAGAAAATGTTTAAAAAACTTTTGGACGCCTTGTTCGATTTTGATTTACTTGGCGTCATTCGACTCAGTTTTTAAGTACAAAAATTGTTTATCAGATTTTGAGTCAATAGATCGAAAAATTTCAAAAATATCTCAATAAACAATTATTTAGAAATTTTCTAGCTATAATTTATGAACGCTTCCCTCAATTTTGATTTACTTGGCGGCATTCGACGCAGTTTTTCAAGTAAAAAATGTGTCTTTAATATCTGGAGTTGATTTGTCAAATATTTTGAAAGTTATTTAGAAAAAAAGCTTGTGAATTTCTTTTGCTTTTTATTTTTTGAATAGGTTTAAAACGGCTGTACTGACTAACTTCAAAATCTAATCAGGTCGAATCCTCAATTAACACTTTCGATGGTTATGACCGTATACTTTAAATAATATGCAACACAATAGTTACAAATACTTGTACATTAACATGATACTTGTACATTAACATTAACATGAACACATCACCTGTCTTTTAAATCTGCAACTGGAGTTAAATCTTTCCAGTAATAAGCCGGCATCACGCTTGGTAGGTGAAGTGGTGAACACAATGCTTATACTTGTAAAGCTGTTTTATTACCGGTCTGTGAATTTCAGATTCAGTGTTTTTAAATGAATAGGTTAATTTCACCGTCCACTCGACCGTCTGTCGGAAGGTTAGCATTTGGAGAAATTGATGGTTTATTCTCTTTACAGCCCAATTATTATACGTTATATTAAACGTTGACAGCCTAAACTTTAAATACTACGAAAGTAGTCGCCAATTTTATGTGGTTCACGTTTCGTTCGTTTACTTTGTCGGTATACAAAGGCTAACTATTTGCAACAATTTGATGAAATGTGTAGCGCAACTTGATTTATTTAATTTTTGTCTTCAATCTACAATATATGTTTATAGAACTAAAAAGTTTTATATTCGTAGGATGGTTTAAATGTTAATTTGAATTGAATGAGAATCTAGTTTTAGAATTATCATTTACGTTGAGAACAGTATCGCGAGTCGCATGTTACCGCGTTGACTGGTGTTTCATAATAATGATAAATGTTAAAAATCGTTTATCTGGCTTGCTAAATCGGTAAGCTGGCTGACTGATTCTATTTGGGAGACTGGTGCCTGAAATAGGTTTCCGCAAATACCACATACACATGTCACCAGGTTCATGTGCAATATATATTTGAAAGTGGCACCACGAGGATCTATAGTGTAGTTTATAGTATTTTATCATTATAGTTTATATTATATTTGTATTCTACTAACGATAGAGTTCCCCGTTCCCAAAATTGTCTCAAAATTCGTATTCCACCACATAGAAGTGGTTTCTTTAATTCATCTTTTACTGTGCAGTCCATGCTGTTCTGGAATGTCTTGCCTGGTTCGAGAATTCTGCCGTAAGAATAAACACCACCTGACGATCCGACTATTGTTTTTTTTTTCTTTTTCACGTTATAAGTAATATTTTGTATAATGTATTTTAATATGCATTGTGTTATTTTATTTTTATCTACTAATATTTTATTTACTTATAGATTTTGTATAGAAGTACCCGTTAATATACTTATTATTTATACTATATTATATATTAAGTACGTATATTTCGCTAGCTATATCTATTTTATTAATTTGCATTTTATTTTGTTTTATGTCCTTATTATTTATTTATGAAGTGATTGATTACACCTGCCACAGTTTCTCAAATCATCCAGGGTTGACTGGCAGAGAATTCCATAAGGCATTAAGTCCGCCCTTTATATCCCTTAGTATATAAGGTGTTTATTAATATTATTAAAGATTTAGAAAATAGTTGCAGCACGGATAGGTTTGCTCTACGGTGAGAGGACCACGCTCTCACAGAATACTGGCGTAAAATAGCAGCATAATGTGTTTCATGTAGTGAGCTAGAGACTAGTAACATGCATTCTATTTTAATCCTCAAGGACGCAAACGCATTTGCATTTTAATTCTTAATGTGCAGGTGTTCCGGGTCTAGAGCATCTACTGAACTATCAAGTGTACTGTGTGATTGTTTGCCACCCTAATTTGTTATTAGCATTGTATTAAAGTATAATATAACAATAAATAATAAGATAATCACTTTTTTCAATCATAATATATAATGTTAATAAAATTACAAACGAATTAATTTGCATTTAATTACATTTAAAATACTTGTTGATAATACAGGGAACACGTCAGAAATTTAATTGTTAAAAATAATAATAGTGTGAGAGTAGATGTTCAATTATACATTATTGGCAATAAAACAGCGTACTGCACTATATGTTTGGTATAGAGCAATTACTTATAGGCCTTCTGCACAATCGGGACCAACCGCCGACCACCGTGTCCTTGGTCGAGTCAATCTATTTTTGTATTCGTACTACACGTTCGTGTGGTTGACTCAACTTGTGAGTTCTCTACGGCATACAAAGCGTAAAGAGTTAGCTAAATATGGCTCCTTGTCTTTCGAAGCAATAAAAGATCAGTGTGGCAATAACTTTTTTATGCTTGAGTGAAAAAAGAAAAACAAAAAAAAATTGGATGAAACTGTGGCTAAAAGAGCAAACTACTTTGAACCATCTTAGTATTTCAAGGATTCTTGATTCTGAAGTCTTTCGAAATTTTCTAAGAATGGATCAAGACACTCATCCAGCCTACGAGACATATGTAACGAACAACTTCTGTGCTTCATCGGGCAATAAATTCTGTATTTCATCTGCTCAACCGGAGCCTATATAGTTGAATACGAACGCTAACCTGTTGGTTTTGCTCTCCCCTTACCTCCTTAAAAAATGCATCCTCGCGCGCAAAGTGTGGGTTTAGAATAAATCTTTTTTTTATAGAATAGCGGGTTGTGGGGGTGTGGGTACCATTGCGTCCGAAATAGTAGCATTAAGCTACTATTTCACGCTGTTATTCTGTGAGAGCGTGGTCCCTCCCCGGTCGAGCCGACCCATTCGTGCTACAACTATACTACTAATATAACTGCAGCATGGCTCTACCACGTATAATCTTAAAATACTAAAAACTTGAGAGTTTAACGTATTCTGGTCGTAGTTCTGAGGCTGTCCTTGTGAAGCACGTAGCATTATAGTTGCGTCTCTGTTTATCAATCAGAGGGACTGCAGGTGGCACGTGTAAGTAGAGATGCCCAAAAAAGTATCGATGCAAGTTAATCGACTATTTATTGTGTTATTATATTTTGTGTAGACGAACAGTCATTCTATTATATTTGTGTATTAATCTATTTGTAATTATAATTTGAAATCGAAATTACAGTTTTACAAACCCACTCACTTACTGACTGACTGACTCACTCACTGACATAATTGTACTCCAAGAAGAACGTATCGCAAAGGATAGGGCCCTCATCGGCAGACTTATATGCTTCAGGTCAGGCAACAACAGGCCAAGGATTGTGCGCACCGTCAGGATAGCATTTGCTGGGACGAATGTTAGTTTGTCCCAGCTGGATATAATGCAAAAACTGACTGAGTGCATAGACATCCTGAAGCAGAGAATCGCTGCTTGGGGAAAGCAGATTCGGCGATATACCGAGAGGTCGACATGGTTCAACCAGAATCGTCTCTTCCAGAGTGATCAGAAGAGGCTCTATAAATCATCGGAGCGACCAATGGTAAGTGGAACGGGTTCAGCACCGAATCAGGCCGACACTGTCGCATTCTGGCGCGGCCTGTGGTCAGAGCCCGTAAACCACAGCGAGGGCCCTTGGACGGAAGTTGTGGCGGGTCAGTGTGCGAGTATTACGCCCATGGACTCCGTCATCATAACGCCGGATGACGTAGCTGAGGCGGTCCGTAGAGCCCCGAACTGGAAAAGTCCGGGACTCGATGGGCGCATCACTACTGGCTGAAGGGGTTCGTGGTGTGTCACACTGTGCTCGCCCGACAGTTTCAAGAGGCTCTCAATCAGAAGTCGCTCCCGAGTCTCTTCAATACTGGGATCACCCATTTTGTTCCTAAAGACCAGGGTACCACAGACCCGAGCAAATACCGTCCCATCACTTGTCTACCGACCATATACAATACACTAATATCCATTTTGAGCGCGAGAATCACTCGTTACTTGGATTCAAATCAGGTGATGTCGCGCGCTCAAAATGGATGTCGGGGCGGTGGTCGTGGAACCAAGGAACCACTCATCATTGACGCGGTCATTGGCAAAGTGGTGGCAAACGCAACCGTCGGAACTTCTCCGCCGCCTGGATAGACTACAGAAAGGCATTCGACTCGGTGCCCCTACAAGGCTAAAGAGAGTCCTGGAGCTGTACAAGATAGACTGTACAGTTAGAGACTTCCTCGAGCAGTGTATGGGGCAGTGGAGTACGATCCTTTGTCATCTGGGCGAGCGGATGATGGCTGCGGAGAACCACATAAGGATAAGAAGGGCTATCTTCCAGTGCGATTGTCTGAGTCCAATCTGGTTCTGCCTCTCTCTGAACCCTCTCAGTACCTTACTGGAGGGCTCCGGGAGGGGATTTCAGCTACGGAAAGGAGGGACAAAAGTGACCCACCTTTTCTATATGGATGACCTCAAGTTATTCGCCTCCAGTCGATGCCATTTTATGGAATTGTTAAACATCACTTGTGAATTTAGCAGTTCCATTAGAATGGAGCTGGGGACGGATAAGTGTGCGGTCATCCATGTTGAAAGGGGAAGGGTTGCTAACTCTGAGGGCATAGACTTATCTATGCCCGTCAACTTAAGGACCCTTTCTGAGGCTGAAACATACCGATACCTGGGTATGTCACAGAACATCTTTGGTTGCCTGGAAGAGATCGCTATGTAGCGATAAGGCCGCCAAATTGTACATGTAATCTGCTCTCTGTTATGTTCTTTGTAAATTTGTTTGTGGTGTACAATAAAGTATATTCATTCATTCATTCATTCAACATCGGTATCGATGAGGCTGGTATGAAACAGTCAGTTTGTGACGTGTTTTATGCACGCTTGACGAAAGTGCTTAACAGCCTTTTGTTCAGTGTGAATAAGGCACACGCATATAACGGCTGGGTCATGCCTGTCCTCATGTATACCTTTGGCATACTCAGGTAGACTCAGACTGAACTTTACGCCCTGGATAGAAAAATCCGCACTACCATACCGCCCATAGGATGTGTCGGTGTGCTGCGCACACACATGTAAACTTCGCAATGTTGTATTGTAACTATATTATGTAGTGAATAAGATTTTTCAGTCAGTCACTAGTTGCCCGCCAACTGTATGGCACGTTCCGCTATAATAAATATATTAATAAAAGATTTCATCTTTCATTATGGTCACCAATAGGCACCCATATGGAGTCAGCTCCTAAACTGGTGACCCCGACGTGATCAAGATGACCGAAGTGGTCTATGTGATGTTAATGCAGTAGTGGGCAATATTCGCGTGGTTGTGATCGGTGGACAATAGATATAGTAACATGAGTGCGCCGTTTCCGCCTACGTCACAGAACGTGCCGCCTGTTAACGTGCCACCCGTTCAAGACATCCAGCCACCCGCGCAACCGCCCATTATGGCGCCAGGTGTAGATGCAGTGTCCCTACAGTCTCGCCTCGCAGACTTTTGGACTGACCAGCCACGCGTATGGTTCGTACGCACGGAAGCTATCCTCGCACCTCAGAGGTTGAGTGATGAGGCGAAGTTTGACCTGGTCGTGTCTAAGCTAAGTAAGGAGGTTATCGCGCAAGTGACGGACATATTACTCAACCCGCCTCCTACCTACAAGTACAACGCACTCAAAGCTCGGCTACTCCACATCTATGAGGAGTCAATGTCGAGGCAGATCGAGAAGCTTATGAGCGAGCTAGAGCTGGGCGACCAGAAACCATCTCAGCTGCTTCGGCGGATGCGTGAGCTCGCTACTGACAAGGTTCCTGATGAAACCCTTCGCGTCTTGTGGCAGGGTCGTCTTCCGACACAAGTCCGAGCCGTGCTAACTGTGTCCGACTCCAAGGACCTGGACAACCTAGCAGCAGTTGCAGATAACGTCATGGAGGCTGTGCGGCCTTCCTATGCCGCCACCGCTACTTACACCGTGCCAGCGCCAGCATCTACTACCGCCTATGACTTGGCCCTGTTGAGAGCTGAGGTGGCTAAAATAAAGGCTACCGTGGACCGGATCGATCAGCAGAGGTCGCGGTCCCGCGCCCCTGATCGCAACCGGCGTCGTTCACAGTCCAGGCGCCGTAGCAGTCCCTGCCGTCCCCGGAAGGAGAACTACTTATGCTTTTACCATTACAGGTTCCGAGAAAAGGCCAACAGGTGTACGAAGCCTTGCGCGTGGAAAACAACACAGCCGGAAAACTGAGCAGCGAGGTACAGTCCGAGGGTCTTCAGGTCTGTACCGTTTTTCCATTCAATCGTTTGTGTGTGTCAGACAGTAACTCCGGACTTAGATTTTTAGTTGACACCGGTGCCAATGTGTCTGTTTTACCAGCCGTGAGAAAAGATCGTCTAAATCAGTGTAGTGAATATAAATTATACGCAGCTAACGGCAATGAAATCGCAACTTACGGTACCAAGACAATAGTGTTAAACTTAAACTTACGCCGACCTTATCGTTGGGAATTCGTTGTAGCAGATGTCAAACAACCAATTTTGGGCGCCGATTTTTTAGCGTACCACAAACTATTAGTTGATTTAAACGCGCGTAAATTAATAGATAAAACTACAGAATTGAATGTTTCGGCATCTGTTGTCAATGTATCTCAACCTAGTGTTAAAACTATTGATGTAAATCATCCATATCAGGATTTATTGTTAAAGTATCCGGACATCACTAAACCAGCGTCATTCCGAGAAACTGCGAAACACGATGTCGTCCACTATATCGAGACCTCTGGCCCGCCCGTGCACGCGAAAGCGCGCCCGTTGCCACTTGTCAGGTATAAAAAAGTTAAAGAAGAATTTCGCATCATGCAGGAACTGGGCATCTGTCGTCCTTCAAAGAGCGCGTGGGCTAGTCCGCTCCATGTAGTTCCTAAAAAAGAATGGAGATATAAGACCTTGTGGGGACTATCGCCAGCTGAATGCGATAACAAAGCCCGACAGATACCCGATTCCTCGCTTGAACGATTTTACTTTTATTCTTCCGGATAAAAAGATATTTTCAAAATTAGACATCAATAGAAGTTATCATTTTATACCTGTCGCACCAGGTGACGTGGAGAAAACCGCTATCATAACACCATTCGGACTTTTCGAGTTTCCTCGAATGACCTTCGGTTTGAGCGGAGCAGCACAAACCTTCCAGCGCTTTATGAACTCCATTTTACAAGGTCTTGATTTTGTTTTTTGTTATTTAGACGACTTACTTATAGCTAGTGACAACGAAGTTCAACACAGGCAACTGTATGGCACGTTCCGCTATAATAAATATATTAATAAAAGATTTCATCTTTCATTATGGTCACCAATAGGCACCCATATGGAGTCAGCTCCTAAACTGGTGACCCCGACGTTATCTGTGAGCTGCTTGCGATGCAGCCTCCGTCATTACTTCCTGGCGAGATCGGATGATCCATTCTATAATGACGTCATTTCTAGTGACAAAGGACTTACCCCTCTATCATTAGCCGACGAGCAATGGCAGGACCCGGCAGTACAGAGCATTTCCGACCGGGAGACCGTATGGAAGGAGAAGGAGCTCCACGGGAGGTACTACAGGGCTCTACATGAGCCCCACGTAGATACGGCCGCCTCAATCAACTGGCTTCGTTTCGGTGACCTCTTCGGGGAAACCGAGGGTTTTTGTCTGTGCAATACAGGATCAGGTTATTAAGACCAACAACTATCGGAGATACATCCTAAAGGATGGCACTGTCGACGTTTGTCGAGCTTGTCGCCATCCCGGTGAGTCACTTAGACATGTCATCTCCGGTTGTTCGGCGCTTTCTAACTCTGAGTACTTGCACAGACACAACCTAGTAGCCAGAATTCTTCACCAGGAGCTCGCGTTGAAATACGGTCTCGTGGATCAGAAATTTACGTATTACAAGTACTTGCCGGAAGCCATGCTCGAAAATGATCGCACCAGGCTCTATTGGGACCGGGCCATCATCACAGACAGGACTATTCTTGCGAATAAGCCTGATATTGTGCTGATGGACCGGGCACAGTCAAGGATATTTTTGGTCGACATTACAATTTCGTATGACGAGAACCTCGTGAAAGCAGAAACAGATAAGCAACCAAAATACCTGGACTTGGCTCGCGAGGTGACCGACATGTGGGATGGACTGCCGACCGAAATTATTCCTGTAGTCGTCTCTGAAAACGGGCTAATCCCAGTCAGACTCCCGGGTCATCTGAAGCGGCTGGGACTACGTGGCGGACCGCTCCAGGCTCAAATGCAGAAGGTGGTGCTCCTCAATACAGCCCGCATCGTCCGCCGGTTTCTTTCCCTTTCCCCTTAACTCTCGGCCGTTTGGTCTTCCCCGCCGAGGGCTTCCGTCTGGTTGGATCTTATTTATTTGTTTGTGTTTTTTGTATTTATATTATTTTATTGATATTTATGTATATTTATTTGTATTGATATTTATATATATATATATATATATATATATATATATATATATATATATATATATATATATATTATCTTTTCATTTTAATTTATAATTATATATTTATAGAACTCGACCAGATGAGAAAATTATATAGATACCCCAATAATAATAACCCTCGGCCGTTTGGTCTCCCCTGCCGAGCTTCCATCTGGTTGGATCTTATTTATTTATGCATTCTTTGTATTTATTTTATTTTATTGATATTTAAGTATATTTATCTTTTCATTTTAACTTAAAAATATATATTTATAGAAGCCAACCAGATGAGAAAATTATATAGCTA